TTTCATTGACACCATGTTTGTCTGCGTTCGATATAGCGTTGAACATATGTTGCTAACTATGTTGTGCCTGTTAAGTTTCTCTCTTTTACAGGCACGATATTGTATGAACGGTTCATTTAAAGCTGAACCAGACAGGTATTGTATCTTCTCTGTGTGAGACGTAGCGAGAATTGTAATTCTCTTACATCCTTACTGCATAAAATGTAGTTTTGCTTTGCATTCTTGCTTAAAACTGTTGCATTTATTGTGAATATTTGCTTCATTACAGTTTGCTGCTTTGCATGATCATGAGTTACATTCGGCTTTGTGCATCTCGTTTTTCATTTTGCCCCTGCCTGCGGTTACGCCTGCGGGCCCATCTCTTGTTTATCTCGCCTGTTTGTCTAAGTCTTCGGCCTTGTCAAAAATGGGTCGTCTCTGGACTTTGACATTCACTCTCGTCATTTATGACTTTCGAGTTCTGTCAAAGAGGGGCAATTGTAGACACCCAATTTTTGACCGACCTTAAAGACTCAAACGTCATCGATTGAGCACTCGGTGATTGCGCATGTTGTGTTCGTTCTGAGGTTATGGAGTCTCGGCTGAGAGCCTTGCCTCCGGACTTCGAGACTCTTTTGTGCTTTGCCTCGGTTTGCGAACCGAATTCAGCTTTCTCTTCCCAAAGGGAGGGAGAGGTCTTGTAGACCATCTCTCAGTAACCATAGGCTACTTTTCGTGGTCGTAGACCACTGTTCCCGTTTGGAGGCCAGTTTCTGATTTTCAGAGTCGTCGGTCGTGCGCCTCGGTTCGGGACCGCTTAACTTTCTCCGTTTGCTCCGGGTTTTGGCACACACCTTGTTTCCTCTCTCTAGACGGACACTATGGCCCGGGAGACCACCTTCGTGGTCACACGCCACTTTCGATGCTTAACAGTCAGCTTTCGGGGCACCCGGTTGCGCGTTTTGGCCCCCAAACTCTCGTTTTGCATCCGTCTTGGTTCATTTTTGGCATGGACCTTATTTTCATTGTTTGGAAGGTGGTACAAGGGTGGGAGACCACCTTTTCTCCTTGGAGACCACTTTTCCCCGCCGGCCGATTTTCTTGTCGGGAAATTGGTTTTCTTGTCGAGAAACTGGTTTTCTTGATCTCTGGGCCACATTTACTGGTCTCCCACCACACCACTGGCTTTCTTTCAGTGTGGAGACCACCTTTTCTCCTTGGAGACCACTTTTCCCCGGCCGGCCGATTTTCTTGACAGGTAATTGGTCTCCCTCACTTTTGGGCCACAATTGCTGGTCTCCCACCACACCACTAGCTTGCATTCACTTGGGAGACCACCAATTGGGATGGCCAACCACCGTTCACTCACTTGAACCTTTTGAACTGGTCAGCCGACCAGGGGGAGTGGTCGGCCGACCACCTGAACTGGCCGGCTTGCCTCCCTCAGTTCTGTCTCTATGAGTTGTTACCAGCTGTGCCAGCTGGAAGGCACAGAATGGATCCTCCATACACGTGTATGGAGGATCTTCATGCTTATTTTTTAGCTTCTTTGAGAAGCTTTGGACCCCTTTGGATATAAGAGAGACCCTCTCCCTCATTGGTAAAGGTTCAGAATTTTGGTCTAAGGCATACAATACCTCTCTCTCTATATATCTCTACATTCAAGCTCAAAAGGTGCTAAGTTCTTGCCCTTTTGCACACCACCACTTAGCCTAACACCTCCAACACCAACCTAAGCTTCTTGGAGGGTCTTGAGAGGTCCTAAGGAGTTACATTTTTGGTCCATAAGCATTTTTGGTCCATAAGCTGCTAGAGTTGCTGAGCTACAAGGGTAACACCCTATATGTTGACACATGCACTTATTTTGCACTTTTTATAAGAAAATGCTATCATTGCTATAACTTGGACCAAACTAAGACAAAATTATAAATTCAATTGCTATAATTGAAGCTAAATTAAATTATTATTGATTATGCCTTCATCATATATACGTTATCAAGGAGAAAAAAATCACGAATGATTTGTAGACGTCCCACGAGCGCCCGGAAAAATCCTGTTTTGTTTCATTGGCTTACTTACAGTTCGGACTCAAATGTCACGGGTTTTTGATCTAATCCCGGCAAAGTGCAAATGCGAGGACCAATAAATCACAACAGAGTCCTAAATCCGACAATCATTTGAAACAAGATTTTAGAAGGAAGTGCCAAACATGGGACTCTTCTGCTAAGTACAGAGTCGCCACCTATAATATTTATTTTGGGAGATTTAGGAAACCCTGGACTCGTGCACTAAAGGCCACGTGTTCGTCATCCCAAGGTTGCCTCGGCTTGGGACTTGGGTACGATTGGGAGAGGTCACGTTCGTGGACACCACCCACTCACATCCGATCTAAAGATCGGCCTCTACCAACCAAATATCGATGGTTTTAAAAATATTATGTGCTCTTATTTCGGTTATTAGCCTAGAATACTATGTGATGGCGCACAAATAAAGTATAGACGGGTCGCCTCTGATTGGAATAAAAACATCTCATGTTCGTTTGAAAATGGTTTGAAGGTGCTACTCGCAGTAGGGCTAGGACGTCGGATTTTTGCCACCTCGCGGTGGCTTAGAAACATGATTTTGCCACTTCAGGTGGCTTACAAACTCTCTTTCCAATGATTGTTCAATCAAATACTCAACCTCCCCCACAGGCATTCAGGCAGTTATATACATAATCAAATAGCTTCATGGTTAAGCTGCTATATGGCAGGTTCCACTCACACGCATCGTAAGGAATGCTTAAAGCACTAACACTCACCGAGTACTCCAACCAAACAGAAACTAGTAATCAAGACAACATTACTATAGTTCAGTAAGATGGCTTAATGCAACACATACAATATGGCCACATACGATAGGCTCGGCATCTACAACATGCATATGAAATGCAACAGATAAATGTAGTCACTTGGGAATTGAAATAACAATGCAGTGTAGTATGATGCGCCAAGCGCCGCGTTGCATATGCAAGGCAGATGAAATGGATACAAACATGGGAGCATCATACGATGCTATTCTAAACGTGTCCTAAACCTAAACACCTAGCTGTAATAAAAGGGAGAAAAGACGTGGGTTGGAAAGACATCAATCAACACACACACACACACTTATTACAACAATTGCCCCCCTCGGAGGGTCCGAATAAATAATCTACACAACCGAATGAATCAAGAACTTATAGCTAATTATTACACAACCCTAATTAATTAACAAATTAACTAAAATCTATATAAGCTAGCATGCAAAACACATGGGAATGGACTTGTCTCACTCGGTTTGAATGGATAAGGAGTGCATGCATGCTCGAGTCGCCTTGCGGAAAATCCATCGCGATGCCCCGATTTGCTTTTCTTGCAACTGGTCCCAGAATTGCCTGTACGAACTCCAGAAGGCTGAACTCCTAACCATCTGTAGGAAACACCCGGACAGTTTTTGCTGCTAGTTTTCTCGGTTTGCTGCAACATGAGAGCAAGGATGAGGGCATGGCAAATGTATTTCAACATATTTATGCACGAACCACTCTCCCGTCATTGCATAAAGCTCTAGGAGTGTAGTCCTCGATCCCACTGTGCCACCAATCACGCATACTCGATGCATGATTGGCCGATGAGTCAGATTGCAACGACTCGATGTAAAATGAATGCACATATAAACACACCAAAGGCCTAATACTCCATCATGGTTTTAATCCAGAGTGTCGGCGACCAAGAATCGAGAACACGTTTCGTCATTTTAAATACGAAACGTCTTCGTTTCCCGTTTTGGACTAACCTGCTCAAACACTAATGCAACAACTAAATGGCATGGCAATGGCAAACACAATGGAACAACTAGCATTGCAATCCTAAATGAAATGCAAACTAGATATGCATAACATGCAAGGAATGACATGCAAGGTGCAACTAGCATACGCAATGCATGAACTACGAATGGCAATCAACATGCCATGATGCTATATGGCATACACAACGCACATAGTACTGATGGACTGCACAAAGGCAATAATAAGGCATTACACAATGCCGACGATCAAGCAATGCGACAAACTGGACATGGATACACAATGCAAGATGACTCTAAACTAAAATGAAATGGGCATGCCACAACTCAAAGTCAGCTGGCACATGAGAAATTTAGCTACAAAACACATGCAAACATGACAAATGCAGGACCAAACCTAGGCACCAAATGCACTCTATCAAAGCATGGCAAGGGATGAAATATGATACAATCACACATTTTCCAGCTCTGAATATGACCATGCAAGATGGTTCCGAAGTTCATGTAAACACACTCACACAATGCATGCTAGATGCCCGGATACCGGAAACTAGTGAGTGCATTACACTAGATGTACACAACAGCAATGCTACAATGACCCACTGCCCCAAACCAGTCCCCTATGCAATCTTT